GCAGGGGCGGGAGGCAGGAGCTGACGCAGAGGGGCTGTGCTCGGGCGGTCCAGCCCCTGGGCAGCTGCTGCGTGGTTCCCCACAGCCCGAGGAGCTGGAAGGGCAACTTCCCCAAGTGACACAGAGAGCCAGAAGAGGACTTTGAGATGGAGGGAGAGCAAGCACATGAAGATGCCGAGTCCCTCCAACGCTATTTTCAGGCTGAGAGTGATGCTCCAGGTCTGAGCTGGCTCTCGCCGTGGGAATGAGGTCTTCTTTCTAGGGCTGTGCCACCCTTCCCGAGCCAACGGCCATATTCTGCCTTTTTTTGTGGCAAAGCCCTTCTGCTCTGACAAAGGACAGCTCTTTGTTTCTCAGGAAGGGAGAGCAAAGGCAGATGTGTAGGTGGGGAAGTTCCAGGGGCTCTCGTTTCTTGTGCATTACTGGCAAACAAATTGTCTTCTCTCTGAAAACATGTGCATTCCCCGTTAGCTAAACTTCAGCCCACGCTGCGAGGCACTTCCCAGACTTCAAAGCACGTTATGATTAAGACGGTGAGGTGTCTCTGGGCTTGGGCAAAACAAACAGAGGCTAAAAATTGAAAAAGCAGCTAGGGAGGATTAAAAAAAATCCCCTCCCCTACAACTTTCTATTTCTTAGCTCCTGGATTCATTTTGTTACTTGAATATTTTTAAAGTTTGCCTTGTGGGGCTTCTTCTGGCTGTCCCTTCTTCTGAAAACTTTCTTTCCCCCAGTCAACAATCAGTAATCGCCCTGTTGTGCTTCTCTCTAATTGCTGATGGAATAAGCACCGCAAGACACTCCAGAAGGGCAAATTTACTTTTTCCTCCTACATGGGACAAAAATACAAATAACACCAGCGCCAGGGTCAAGCTACCATGCCATATCTTTGAGAACATTTTACTCTACTGAAAATTATTCCTGCAACCAATTAAACATTTACTAATTTTACTTTGTCGTGCAATTTTGCAGCTGCCCACAACACATACTGAATCACTGCTGAATGATTTGCCCTCCCAGCTCATGATGATTTCAGACCGAATAATCACATTACCAGCTAGATAGTGTTTTGAGTAATTGCAGAGTCAGTTTTTACTTGCCCTGAAATGCTAAGAGTGAGCTAACGGAAAAAAACAAAGAAGTTTTTACATACTCACAAGTTCAACCAGCAAGCCACAAACGCTTGCTGGGGTCTTCCTTTTGCCAGCTTCAGCATTTCCTCGCTTGCCATTTGGCCGATGTCACCATCGCTGAACAAGATGAGGAAGGGCTTTTTGAGTTGCAAGTAGTAGGGCAGATTTTGCACGGTGATTTCTGGCTGCAAGACATCAAAACGAGAAGTTGGGGTTTATGGGCAGGAGAGAACAGGACAAAATTAGACTTTCTGTCCTTACATGAGGGGTGTGGGGGCTAAGCAAGGCTGTAGGGTCCATGTTGAACGCAAGCAACTGGAAAAGAAGTGTGGGTGCTGGGATCTTGGTGCACGTTGAAGATGTCTACACCCAACCCTGCCCATCGCGAGCCAAGTCTGCGTGAGCAGCCGTGCGCTCCGAGATGAAGGGGCGTGAGCGGAGAAGGGAGAAGCAAGGCCAGCTCAGCCCAGCTCGTGTTATGGCTATATCCAGTCTCGCAGACCCTGCGAGAGGCCAAGCCACCACGGCAGCGGGTCTGTGACTATGAGCACAAGCCAGGCGATCGACTCCCGCGGTCTCCTCCCACGAGACCACACAGCAAACAGCAGATTTCTGTCCAGACTGTCCGATCCAAGCCATAAAATTTAAAAACAAACGTAACTCAGCACAATAGAAATAACGAGCAAACATATTTATTTTGCACAGCTCCACGCTATAATCAGTGTTTCTGCAACCAACCGCAATGGAAAAAGGACTTTTTTTTTTTTTTTACTTACAAAAATGTCCAGCAATTCATATCTGATCATCCGCACCATGTCCTGCGTGCTCTGTTTGGACAAAGCGATGCCTTCCACGCTCCGACCACCGGTCCTGGCAAGGAGGAGGGCTGGGGGGGACACGGCATATTTACGGCACCTGAAAAAGAGGGATGGTAACAAGAGCTGGCTGGGAGACCCGACACGCACCGCATCTCCTGCACGCAGAGCTGGCATCCCCATGGTGAAAAGCGGGGACAGGGGAGGGAAAGGCTGCTGTTAGAGGCACAGGCACCCGCAGGAGGAAAGGGTCCTGAGCTGCCTTCCCCTGCCCATCGCGTTCCCCGCCGCGCCTTCGCCAGTCCCTGAACAGTCCTGGCGTGGGTCAACGGACAGAGATGGGGCCGACGTCTTCCCTCGTCCCCTTCTGAAACAAGCACTTACCCAGCTCGTACCAGACACTAAATATACACACAGCACCTTCTCCTGCAAAAAGACTTCAGCGGCTAAATAATAGGGAAAATCCAAATCACTACCGTTTAAACGCTGGCACTCCTCTCTCATTTTCACACCTAAGGTTAGGTGGTGCACATACCTACCCGGTGATTTACTCTGCCTCCCAAGCCAAGGCAAACAGAAGGTCTTAGACTCCACCTGAGGGACACCAACCTAGAGGAACTAGGCTCCAGGAGGTCTGGTTTTTGGCTTGGTGAACACGGGCAATTTTGCTGAAGTCCAGCCCCATGTTAGAGCAACACACGCAGCCTGCACACAGACACTCTTGGTGGAGAAGCCAGCGCGTCCTTTGTTCCCTAACGTGCTTCTGGTAAGACGGTTCAAGGGTATTTAAGGAAAAGCTGAGAAAGTGGAAAGAGCAAAAATAGGAGAAGTCTGAGCAGGGAAAGGGCAGGGGGTACATCAACTGGGAGAGCAATTTTCTGCAAGTTTGAGGAACTTCAGTCCTGAAGGCTCCAGATGTCAGTGCCCAGAAGAAGGGCGCGACGGAGGAAGTCAGCTGCCTCAACAATTTGGGGGGGGGATGTCTGTAGTTTGTTTTTCAAAGGCTGCTGGCAATTTTTCAAAGGTTGTGACACCAGAATGGCTGGGGAAGCGAGTGAGGTGTAAGGACAATTTGCATTGTGGAGGTGGGGAGGTGGAAAGCCTTTGATTCCCTTTCCGAAGTAATCTGGTCCATCTTTTTTTTTTTTTTCCATATAAGAAAGACCCAACACAGACTCAGCCTACTGCAGAACAAGCTACTTATTTTTAATGAAAGGCAGCTCATAGCGAAGTTATGTTACAACCTATTGCACCTCCCTCCATAGTTTGCTCAGGCAAGTTCAGTTTCGACACTTATTTTAGCCGTTCTGAATGGGATGGAGATTTGTTCAAATTTGCTTTAAAAATCTCAGTGTTTGGTGTTTTAAGTCATCCAGGACAAAGCAAGTGGAGGTAACTGCAGATAACACATTTCCATGATGTTCAGCTCGTATGTAGGCCTTCCATTTCCTCCATCACAGCACTGATCTGTCTGAAAATCATACGCCCACTGCAAATTTCTAAGGGGCACCCAAGATCTGCACTGATATCTTGATAAAGAGCAGCAGTCATGAATGACCTTGGACTCTCCTGAGGCCTTCAGATGTTGTGAAACCTGTTGCTAAACTGTTCTTGGATTTATCCAAGCCATTTCAGTTTTATTTTGCAGTATCCTCTGCTTTTTTTTAATTTATCTTTGTAAATCCAGCTGTGAGCTAAGCTTTCCCCTTTCTGCCCAGAGTCCCGAGCTCCACCAGTCACGAAGTTGAGTTTTGCACTTCTGGTCATGGCTGGGAATCCTCTGATCTATTAGGAAGGTCCTTAACTTTCCCCTCTCTTGTTTTGCAAACTAACCTGTATTTGCAATCAATTAAGACTGGTAAAACCCCAGAAAACTTTTAAATTCAGGGATTTTCAACTTCTCAAATTTCCACAGGAGTTAAAGAGACTCTCTGGCTTGATGACTTCTCAGAGGAGGTAAGGACTCTTCCTCCCTATGTCTAAATACATCAACTTGTTCAGCAGCCTCCGATAAGGAAGTTTCTTAAATACTGCCAGAAAACCAACAAATTCCCTATCTAATAGCTAGAGTCTACCCTGAAATCACTTCTCCTCTTACTGGTACCGAGGGGTTGTATTGTTGCTTACAGCAGCTTTCTATTTATACAGCAGGGGCATTCGATGGGTAACATGAGACTTGCATTTAAATCAAAAACATCTGCAAACAAATACTTGGCAGGAATCTATGACATCTCAGTATTTGAGAAATAAATAATGACTTCATTATAAGCATTTCTTCCTTAATGCTTTTTTTTTTCATTAGTTACCAACTGAGCAGGTGCTTGCTGAGCAAACAGTTTTGCAAACAACATTCTTTGTATATTTTGTATACCTTTTTCTCTGGGAAGAGGAGACTCAGCTTTCTGTGACCTGGGAACCACAAACATTTCCTCCTTGAGCGTTTAGCAGAAGAATAGCTTTTTTTTTCTTAAGAAGGGAAGTGAGCCTGGCTCTTGCATAAGGAATTCCTTTAAGTGTTTACTTTCTACTTACAGTTGAGAAGATGACCATCTACAGTAGCTTCACCCACAAATCACAGCCAAAATCCAAACTTGGCAGAATGAATATCTATATAAACTATATTATCTGTTGCAACTAAACAGGAGCACGCTGCAGACTGCGGCTGGAGCAGGAGGATGGAGGTACATTCTCACATGTGTCACTGCTGAGAGAACACAGGCTTTTTCTTCTGGTATCTTGTTTTGTAAGATCACCCTGCCCTCCTTTCCTTTTTTTCCTTCTATCAGCTGGGCTGAGATCCTTAGGGGAGAAAAGTCTTTTAGCTCGGTGGGGGGGGTGTGTCAGGTTTTTCACCCTGGTGCTGCTGGTTGTGACTTCTGTACCCACCCTCGCCCAGCGGTCTCCCACCCCAGCACTGAGCAAGCCTGGCACTGCCTTGCTTCTAAGACCCAACCATGGCTGGTGCTTTGAGCACATTTTGGCTAATAGAGACGTACTGCCAAGATATTTGCTTTTTTTTTCCCCCATGCATACCACAAAAATGCCCATATCTCATCAGACATGCTAGAGATGCATCGCATCTGTAAGAAACTAATGAAAACAATTCACTGTTGCATTACTGGCTGTTAAAGCCACACCTGGGAAACAGGACAAGGACCTCCTGGGATTTTTAACTCTGCCTTGATAGCTAATTCCTGATGGAAATGAGATGCCAGGACAAGCTGAGGATTCTTGCCTGGATCTACCTGCATTTATAGGCACTGAAGCATCTCTCACAGTCTAATGCAAAGCACTTTGCCCCTTGCTGGAATGAGTCTTAATGACACAGTTAAGTGCACAGACTGATACGTGCTCAGATCCCATTAGCTCCAATTTGGCTTAAAGTTAGGGCCGCAATCGATGCTCTTATTCAGTCAGGAACTGGCCAAGAAAGCCCTGACTTCGCCTCCACCACACGCGCAGGAGGAAGGCTGCTATATTTTTTCAGCATTCTTCCTCCAGAAAGAGGATGCACCTCCCCAAAGCTCCGTCTGGAAATGGTGGTAACGTCTTGCTCTTGCCAAGGGGAGGGAGACGGGTGGGCGCATCTTTCAAGAAAAAAAGACCCACGGTAAAATTAACTGTTGAAAAGATAAGAGGGAGGTTCTTCCCCATCCTTAGCAGTTGCAAACATCTCGCGGTCAGATGCGAGTGCCCACCGGGAAGCTGGAAGAGACCAAAGGGGTTTCACACCTTTCACAGTGCTGCAGAAAGGCCGTCTGCTCCACACCACGGCAGCTCCTTGGAAAGACAGCATTTATGTCGGAGCTTTCGAACCGTTTTCCGGCACCCAGACCCGACGCTCACCTCA